CCCCCTCCCCCTCCCCCAACTCTTTCCCTATGTAAATGAATGTTTCTTAATTACTGAACAAATCGGCTGTAACCGTTGTGATTGACACGGTGAACAAGCACACTTGCCCGTTTAGCCAGCCGCACTGACGTCATCGCTTACAATTACAACGATAGTGACTTCACCGTGAATCATTGTCTCTGGGGCTCAGCAAAGAATGAGCTCGTTGCCACGGCCCTTTCTTTATGAAGCTTTTCTTGTAAAAAAGTAAAGGGTTTGAAAGAAAAAAAAAAGGGGGGGGGGGGGCTCGCAAAAGCTGTAGTAGAGAGGGTTCATGCTCTGCTGGCCCAGACAATGAGGTGACAGTTCATGACACACTTACCCCATAGATCTAGTAAAACAAATTATAAGCTAATTGGAACCCCTCTAGGTAGGGGCCTACGTCTTGCCTTCTGAAACTACATGTAGACCCAAATGACAAATTATATACCCTCTCACTCCCATGAATCTAGGTTTTTCTCTGAACTGAGGAAATCTTACCATTGAAACTCAACCTAACCTCTAATCTGAGCCACACCCACATTTTAATCCACCCACCACTGCTGTGGATCTAGGTCAGTCTCCCCCCTTCTCCCCCGCGTTTCAAACTCCATATCGTAAAACCGCAATTGATCATTCGTTCCGGTGTACTTCTTTGACTGAAACAAGCGAACAAAACTGGCTGATCCAAGCATTAAAATTAATAGCATCCCAGACTGTACGTGTCTCAGTTCTTTAGCCCAGGCTTCTCCAATTCCCCAACTCGACCTCTTTATGATTTAAGACTCAGCTTTTGAGCTCCGTGATACAAGGGCGGGCAATGCAGGCTACGTCAGGGCAAAGGTTGATAACAGCCGTTACCCTCTCACTCCCAGGTATATAGGTTTTTCTCTGAACTGAGGAAATCTTACCATTGAAACTCAACCTAACCTCTAATCTGAGCCCCACCCACATTTTAATCCACCCACCGCGGCTGTGGAACTAGGTCAGTCTTGCTCCACCTCCCCCTCTTCTCAAACTCCTATTATATCGTAAAACCGCAATCCACCGTTCGTTCCGGTGTACTTCATTAACTGAAACAAGAGTACAAAACTGGCCGATCCAAGCATTAAAATTAATAGCAGCCCAGACTATACGTGTCTCAGTTCTTTAGCTCAGGCTTCTCCTATTCCCCAACTCGACCTCTTTATTATTTAAGACGCAGCCTTTGAGCTCCGCGATATAAGGGCGGGCAATGCAGGCTACGCCATGGCAAAGGTTGATAACAACAAAGTCCCAGGTAATCTATTATAATATCACAACCGACTATTTACTTTATTAAGTTGTTTTTTCTTTTTTCCAGATTTTTTTTTCGCACCGGTACTCTATGAACCAGGTACATTATGTACAATGTATACGTACCGTACATATACATTGATTATAATATTATATTTCACACACACACACACACACACACACA